TTATAACCTAACCCACCTAACCTTTAACAAAATTAAACAATTTTTGGAGTTGGTGCCATTGGTAATTATAGTTAATCGTTGTACACAATACATCTTGCTGAAAGAAGCCAAGCCACAATGAATACTGCGCGTACAGTTTTATATTAAATATTTCTTCGACGCTTTTGCAGTAGGGCATTCCTGCCATATGCCTTCACTTTTCAACAACACGAGGCTCACTTTCATCTTTATGGAAAAATTAAGGAACTTTCATATTACCAACTTGAAATGGACGCTAATAGATTATTTTACAAAGTGATTGGTATTTCATTGCTTTAACAATCCCTTGCAATCATGCATTACAGAGACCTAGTAAATTTCACCTTTGTCTTAATACATTCTTTAAGAAATGACTCGTATATAAGGAGAATAACTTTTTTACATTCATCGCCAACAATAACTTCAAATTTGAATTCAGCGCTCTGTATTATTTGACCGCATTGGGCGACCGCCCTTATTTTTTTCTCTGAAAAGGTTAGTACAGTTTTCACTTTGGCCATGTATGCGTAGCCAACCCTTTCAAGAACTCTTATCGTGATAGCGACTTAAACGTCACTCTAAATCATATCACGCCATTACAGGGTAAGGTCTTCAAACTCAATTTCTAACGAACTCGACTTCAAACGAACAGCTTATGAAACACACTTTGCACAAACTCAAATAATTGTTAAATTATGTTATAGGTTAGGAAGGTAATATATAGGTTAAATTGTAGGTAGGTAATTATATAGCTTAAATTAAAAAAAATATTTTTATTAAGTATTACTTAAACATTTAAGCGCTACTGGAGTTTTTTGAACTTGTTTTTTTTTTTTAAACTTTTTATTTATTTTAGTGTTCGTCCTTCATCAATCTGCTGCTAATTTCACACCGGTTTTCTGTTGCAACGATGGTTTTGATTAGTCCAAAGTGAACACCCACTCGGATACCTGTGTTATTTTTTTTAATTTACCCTTGTATCGGCTCTTACAGCAACCCTAAAGTACTATTATGACTTCTATAATTATGTAGAAAAATTTCTACATTTAGACAATGGTAAATTGGCTGGTGACGATTATTTTCAAACATTTTTATTGTACATTAAAATTTGTAGAAAAAGTCCGAAACGATTGTCGCCGCTGTGGGAATCGAACCCACGTCTTTGGCATTAGCGGCTTGACGCTTTAGCCACTAAGCTAAAGGGCTGATTGCCACACCGACGAAAATCTTAACATTGTTTCTTAGCATTTGAAGCAATGCTTGACGTATATATTGTTATATCCTTTCTAGTATACAAACAATTTCGAATATCGTTTTACAATTATAATTCGAACGATTGTAATTTTATTATAGTGCTAATCTCTGAACTGTAGATTGTACATTAAAATTGTACATTTTTATTGTATCGGTATTTATAGTACAGTTATTGCCCAAAAAGGTTTTCAATTCGAAATTAAATTCGGAACTTGGCGCGGTTAATTGATACCGTGTCGGTTAGTTGTGTATTTAAAAATTGTTTAAGGCAATGTTTAGTATTTCACAGATGTGGCAAACGAGCGGACTTTATAGTTTACTTACCATCAGTGAACTGCTACGTGTCATACTTCTATGGTTCGTCTGGTGAGTGAAGTAGCCGTGGCCTAATTTCTTAAAAGGTGGCAACACATTTGCAACCCTCTAGGTGTTGCAAATGTCAACGGGCGGCGGTTATCACTTAACATGAGGTGAAACGCCAGCTCGCTTGCCACCTTGTCACATAAAAAAATCTAACAGTAGATATGAGATGTGTTGCCTAACTGAATGTGCTAAATTCAATCTTACTTGAACATCAGATCGATGTCCCGAAAAACGGAGGTACTTCCCCGCTTCATTTGCCATAACCGTGTTGCAAGAGCTACGTGCAACCATTCGTTATACCACAGTAAGCAAACTAAACGAGCTTAACTATGTGAAACGGGACAATGAAACAACCATTGTACTAATATGCCTATTATCAATTTATTGTTTATTGGTTTTTGAAATAAGTTTTTCTCCGTTTATTCGTAATAATAATCATACAGTTAAGAATCAAAAGGTTGCAAGAGAAAACTACTAATAACTACTTAAAATTAGCATTGATTTAGTGAACTTATTCTTATAACAATTGCATCGGTTGAATTCGGTTCATTATCATTATTTCAGTTATTCACTTAATAAATGTGCTGTATGCAGTTTCAGTTTTGACGACAATGTATAAAATTGAGTAAGATTTTTATCATATGGCACTTGTTAAATAAATTATGTTTCGTAATCATTTATTAATAATTGTTTTCTCGTTGAATAAACTTGTCACATTTTTTGAACATATCTCCCTTTATGTTCATTATATAAATCATTGTTTTTTTTTATACAATCAAAACAAAACTATTGTTTTTTTTATTTCAAACATGCTTAGAATTAAAGCTACAGACATCTGACTCTTTATCAACTTAATTAAATTACAATTTTATAATGGGAACTTAAATGAATGGTTTTGCAGTTAAGCTTTAACTATTAAATATTGAATAATCAATATTTCGGTCAAAATCCATGCAGTGATGATGGAGACAGGTTGAAAAGTATTAAAAAATATCTGCTAATTCAATATTTTAATACAGCACCAGACCGTTTTCTATGTGAATAACAATAAAGGCGTTTGTTTGTCTTGTGTGTTATGTAGAAATTTACTACGACATTGTAAACGTATAAATACTAAAACGTGTTTCACTTTTTCGCTTGTTGACGAACTACATAACTAGCCTATGAAAGCGACACTTGAAGAATCATTCATCAATTAATTTCAAATTTCGTGTCAGTCAGTCTCACGCATAATCGCTTGTAATCAATGCTCGATGTGCATATTAAAAAAATATGCCATATTATTTCATCGGTTTGCGTACTTTTTTCCACCTTTATTATTATCTCTTATACTCTTAATGGCGTTGCTGTGTTTTCTGAATTATGACGTGCCTCTTACTGTATATGCAAGTACCGAACTTTTGTTTGCATTAAAAAGTGTAAAATAAAATCAAAAAACGTCACCAATTGCTACTTCTTGGAATATGTCCTTTGACATTTCATTGTGAACAATATAATAGCTCTCCAGTTATCGCCAAAGGGACCTATTTTCTGGATTTCCCGAGCGCAAGACAAGGCTTCTGTTAAATTTAAATTCGACGCGATTAAATCTTTACATAATAGCTTTATTTAACAATGGCATTTGTAAGTAACCGCTACGAGTGCTGTTTTTTTTTTTGCTAAATTATTATGAAACAAAGAAGGATGTGTTCATGATTTCTTATATTCCCAAAATAATAAAATAATAGAGCGGATTTATTTCTAGAATTACGTTCATTGATATACATTATCTTGTAGGACACTTATTTATGTATAGAAGTCATTTTTAAGTTTATGAATCAACAATTTATGATTTCTTAACACATACATTTTGGTATCCATTAATATAAAAATAAACGAAATATAATAACAAATAATTCAAGCAGTGACTAGATTTTCCTAAAGATTATTTTTGGTACGAATCTTTTAATATTACTCAATATATTCCTAGTAATTAGTTACAATTAATTATGACTGAGATCTAGATTGCACGTTTTCATTAATTAACTTACTTGTGTTCTATATTTACAAAATACCATTTAAAAATATTATTTATAATTCGAATTTTTTATTTTAATCATTTAAGCCGTGTTGTTTGCCTCTTTTTATTTATAAGTAATGTTTTCATATTTGAAAATTATGAAATTCCTTAACAAAAATATATACCATTCAAAAAACAAAATAAAAAAATAATCCAACTTATTATATCATCACGGTAAGTATATATAGTAATCACATTAATCACGGTAAGAAAAAAACTATATAACTGAAACAAAAAATATAAACAAAACTGCAGCCCACAAAGGGTTCATGTTGTACTAATTCCGTTCGATTTAGTAACTATAGTTGGACTAATGAGTAGTTTTAGATAGAAATGTGACTTATGTACAATGAATTAAATACTATTTTGGCTAAAAGTCGCTAATAACCTCTTAATCTAAAAATTGTGCCATTTGTGAAATATTAAGAAACCTCATCGAAAAAAAACAAAACATTAAGAAATGATAACATTATAAACTAGAGCATCACTACCTATCTACAACTTATGCAAGAAATAATATACTTACATTTATTTTGTACACTTTCAAAAATTAAGAACATAACGCCTAACAAATTTATAATAAATAATTATCATTTAGAGATGCTTGTTGGTAGATTAGGAGAAAGCTACAATATCATAGTTTAGTCTTTTAGAAGTAAATTCTTTCAATATTATCAACGTTCTTTTTGTAATTTCAAACTGCACGACGAACGCTGCGCGTACAGTCCTAATCTACTGACAAATTTACATTTTCTCGTGAACTTTCCGATGTATGCTTTAATCGGACAACGAACATTATCATTCCACATCGATGCCTACAATACGCAACGATGGAGTTACTAATATTAAACACAGAATATTGAATATTTTTGCAAGGCACATTCTCTTAAAAATCCTGGTTTTTAATTTCCATGTACATTTCAATGTTCCATTACATTCACAGGTGACGGGTAAAAACGAAAAAATATGAACTGATATGTATATAATGGTTATTATATACCCTGTGTCTCGAAAAAATATTTAAGAGAGATTGTCGTTACGAGAAATGATAATCGGCTCATAACGTGCAACGACACGCTAGAGGTACTATGCTACTACAAGATTGCGATCGATTCGAGAGGGGGTGATAAAAGAATGAGATTAAATCGAGATCTTATTATTGCTCATGAAAGGTTGTACTCTGCGTACGAGCGGCCCCACTAGCCCAGGTCCCATTGGGTAACGGGCAGTGAGGTGTGCGGCCGACGGCTCAGTACCCATACCCGGCGCCGGGGTACAGTAGAGCCGTGCCGCCACCCGCCGGTCAGTGTTGTGCTGCGAATTTCATCCGCTTCTGTTTTTGCCGCTGGTTGCAGAACCACACCCGGACAACGTTCTTTTTCAAGTCCAGCTTCTCGGCGATTGCTGCTATTTTCTCGCCCGACGGCCGCGGCTGGACTGCGAAGTACGCCTCCAGACTCCTCTTCTCGGGGGCAGCTATCGACGTTCTCTTCCTTTTCTTCTCACCGGCCGGCAGGACGCTCGGCGCGTCCGGGTCTCGCCTTTTGTTCTTGGCTTGCGCTTCGGCTTCTTCTAGCCACGCCTGAAGGATCGGCTTCAGGGCGATCATGTTGTTGTGGCTGAGGGTTAGGCTCTCGAATCGACAGATCGTGCTCTGGGAGAGAGCGCCTACGCCCGGTAGTTTGAGGTTTGCGAGCGCTTTGCCGACGTCCGCCTGCGTGACGCCAAGCTTGATTCGCCGCTGCTTGAAACGCTCTGCGAACGCTTCCAGTTCCCGTGGATCGGTGTCAGTGTCTGGGTGAAGGGCCGCCGCGGGATGGCCAAGGTGCGCTGGCGGCCCGTGGGACAAAGCGCCGCCGTGGTGGTGGTGGTTCATCACGTGGTTCATCGCGCCGTAGCCGTGCAGCTGGTGGTGTGGGGGCGCGGCCTCGCCCATTGGCGCCAACGTGGTCATCGACGAAGAAGTCAAGGGATCGAGCATGTCGAGACCCTCCATGCCATGATGGCCCATCTGTGGGAAAAAGGGCTTTTTGTAATTCTTTTTTAGCATACTGTCAAAAATATAACTATTAAGGGGATTAGTACAGAGAGGGGAGCGACGCGATCATTATTGTCGCTCGCCGAATTAACTTCTGCATTCATGTTAAATCATGCATTTTATTGTAAATAAAGCAGGGGTGGCAACAATAGCCGCACTCGGGGACGATATGGCAACATAAACAATCATCTTTGTACAGATTTGCACTCATTCTTTACGAGTGCAAACACTTTGTTTTTCAATAGGAGGGTGAGTCTGTTGTGACGTTGATTGGTCGCGAGTGTTTTAGCAATATGCTTATGCTGTTGACCGGCTTTGAAAAGAAAATGACTATTTTGAATGGCCATATGCAAAAGATTCTCAATGAGCGTATTTTTGTTTATTACGATCGTCAATAAAAATCCATTTTAACGAAATGTACAAAAAAACCTTGACTCTATGTAATGTGTTATAATAGACGGATAATTGCTTCAGACATTAACCATTTCATTTCGAATACGGGCATTCCTATTCAAGTGTATTCATTGGTAACATTAAACAAATTAAACTCGAGGCGTAACCGAATCAATTGTCAATATTTCGGTGGCCATATATCTCAGTATAAGAACAGGTCGTACGTCTTTCGCTAACAATTTCGGTGGCGCGTCCGGTATTAGGTGCAGGCACTGCCTGTGTTCCCAAAGGAGCGGTAGATCACAATTACGAGGCGGGACCCGCGTGCGGCACGTAAACTTACATGCCTCTAACGGCTTGCTTCGTACCGTTTTTAATACCATCGTATACCTTACGTGCGGCGTTGCTCCATCAAGGACGCGTTGCCCGACAACCCGGATGGCCCAAGGTGCAAACTCAACAAAGTCGACTGTCACTCACGGCCGTTCGACGCCTTCTGGTGGGATAGTAATTGAAACTGCGCAAAGCCGCAAAGTACGACTCACAGGTGCACGAATTTCGTAGGCAAGTACAATTTGTTCCGGCAAGCGTGGGGTGCCAGTGATGGGGATTGCGCGTTCGTCGTCGCATTATAATAACCCGTCGCACCCCTCTGCGTCAATTTCACATGATTAGTTGGTAGGAAAATTACGCCGCAATCGAAATGGTAAGCAAATACCCGAACCACCGTTTCCATCTGATCAAATCGATTCTACTTTAAATTTTATTAAGTATTTGATATTGAACTGAAATCTGTTCGTATATACTTACTTGAATGTTGGATAGAGCTTTTTTTTAATCACATTTTTCATTAACAATCGTATTGTCTCGAAATCGTGACTGTGGTTTCGGAATACTTCATCTAATTTTAAAATTATATATTCTTCGTTCATTTTAAATCAAATTACCTAATAAAAATTTGAAAACAATAAACAAAAAGTTTCAATGCAATACTTTTTTTATAACAATTAAATACTGATAGTTGAAATGATTATATTTTGAATTTATTATATAATAATTATTTTTACGTAGATAAACTTACCTACACGTTTTATTATAACATTTTGGCGACATACTATAATGTGACGCAAAGAAATTAAAAATAACATCGATGCATTGCACGCCCACCCTCGGTTGCGATTGCAAGTGGATATTAAATAAATTGTATCCTGTTTATAGTGATTTGTATCAAAACGTTATGATTTGGACAAGTGGCCAAATTTGCTCGGGGTGTTGTAGGGTCACAAAACGGGCTGCTCCACTATTAAAATTTAGGTACTAAAAATTAAAAGCCGAAACTAAAAGTAACTCGCATTCGAGAAAGCTTTAATATATACTTATTAATAACTTTGGATTAAGTTCATTAAACGTTTTACACAGCCTTGTTGAATGTCATTTTAGCACAATTTATTTTGTTCTTAATTATTTAATATTTCCTTTTTCTCTTTTTAAACATGTCGAGTGAACCTTAGAAGTCTATGGCAGAGTACATTGTATAACAGCTCCTTCTGCACGAAGAATCCAGCCTTACCAAAGAGTAACGCGGCTTCCCCGCAAAGTGAAGTTAAAGAATCTATACTTTGGCGTTTCGACGTTGTTTCAGGTACTCGGTAGCCCATTATATTAAAGCAACGCTCCTAATGGTGTCTATGAAATAAATATAAAAAAATAAATAAATCCAAAACCTTAACATTGCTGAAATATGCAAAGAAAGTAGATATATGTTGACTTTATTGTGAGGATATCGCTCGCCTAGCTCAGAACGCTAAGAATTATTTTGACAATTTTATGTAAGAAATTAAGTTGCACTCTAAGTAGAATTAAAACAAAAAAGCAATCTTGTTTTTCAATAGCCGAGGAAATATCAATTGTTAAATGTAAATAAAAACACTTTTAGTGTACTGTAAAACTGCTTTCTGGGTGGCATCAAAGGTTGGTGTAAAAAGCAAAACAAAAAAAGTAAACTTAAAACTATAACACCGCCAGCTTTGTGGCCCCACGCCTATTTTCCCCCGCCTCTTTGCATGTGTAACGTATTTGACACGAGCACTATTTATACATGTGTGCGTCGGGACGATGTGAATGTATTATGAGTGCTGCTAAAATGATATTTTGACTGACCAATGCGGCTGGGTAACGCTTCACATCGACACATAAAAAAGCCAAAACTATCGAAAACGAAATAGCATTTATTCAAAGTGATCCCGTTAGTATCTTATATTAGTTATAAATATACTAAAAAAAATGAAATGAAAGTTAGTACACGCGAAGTAACAATTTTTCAGGTGTAATTTTTTTCATCTAGTCATAAAACTGTGGTACGTGTTAAGTTACGACAGTGATGGCTATAAAGGATCTTATTTTTTTTTTTCGTGGAATTATCTTATTTATAATATGACAACCTGATTGGTGTATGGGATAGTGCACCTGTCTCTTATACCAGAGGTTGTGGGTTCTGTCTCCGCTACTGGAAAACTGTTAAGTGATGAAGATAATGTTTCTAGTGTCTATGTTTTTATAAATCTACTAGCAGAACGCAAAACAAGGCTTATTTTTCTTTTCAACGGAAACTTCCGAATAAAAAGTAAGTATATAAAACTTTCTCCTGTTCAATATCTAGGCTGTGAATCAAGTCCATCGGCTAGCTTTTGTGGGCACATAGGAAGCTAAATAAAGCTCTGTCCCGTGACCACTGGAAAGGGGTTCGAAACGTCGAGGGTTCAAATCAAAATGAAAATGATCTAATATGCATAATATATTTCCTTATTTTGAAATTAGATAAAGCGATGTAAAACATGTAAGTGTTGAAATATATAAAAAAAACTTTTTTTTTTAAATGACCTTTGCAATTAACAAAAAGAAATCGAGGTAAACTCGCGAGGCGAATAACGGTTGGCGCGGAGAGACATAATGTGAGCGACACGCGTGGGCATCAAAACGCGCCGCGCAATGTTTCGTAGTGCCATTAACAACAGAAAGCGGCATTGTTGATTTTGGAGCGCGGGCCTCCCTCCACACTTGTCCCAAGTGGCCGAAGCGACAATTGCACGGCAACCTAGTGAAAACGGTCGTATGTCCTGTACTCCCTCGAGTACGAGTACGCACTCGTTCCTTTTTTTATCTCCCCCTTTCGCGTAGTTTACTTCATGTTTAAGTTTTTCATTGTTTACACTAGATCTTTTTTGATGATCGCTCCGGAACTCGGAGATAAGACTATGGCGATATTATTCTGTTATTGAGATCGATAAGTCTCTGGGTGATCGTGGGCCTTTGAGATGCCTGAGATTTTAAGATATCGGAATTGTTGGCTCCATGAATTTGTTATAAGTGACTGAAATGTACCTGTAGTACCGATGACTATCGCTAACCTAATAGAGGCTTCATCAAGAAAATAAAGCAGTGAGATATTTTTGTCACCAAGAAAACATATCACAAAATGGCAAGCACAAAACATCAGAAGTTGCCATTGCCGAAATGTTTTGCTATACAAACGATTTTTTAACTTTATACATACTACTAACAAATATTTATACCATATGTTTTTCTACGAATTTTTAAGAATTAACAGATTCCTCCAAATGTATGATATGTTACGATATAAGATATGATACGATATTATCATAACAATCAATATATTAAAAGCTCGCATTCAGAGAGTAGTTCAATCCCATAGTTCCATTAAGTTACAGCTATACTGTAAAGTTTAATTATTCATGTCCAATTATTTATCATTGGTGCAGTTAATTCTCATTTGTTAATGATAAATGTATTTATTTAGGAGCAATTTGTAAAAGAGAATCAACTTTATTATTGACCTTTTATCCAAAAACTATTATTTTGAATTTGTTTTTAATTACAAGTTACACAACTTTTCATTACTGTACGTAGCAACATTTAGAGCCGCTTCGGATTAAACTATGTATAGTATTAAAGTTTCGCTGTAGTTCTATTTCGTAGAGATTAGACACAAATGCGACCCCAAACTGTGGCTTTTGGGATGCTCGGGCAATAAAGTGCGAATTACACGGGCCGGGTAGCGCCTCCGATCGAGAGGGGAGACTTGCGGAAGAAATGTGACCGAAGGTTCTTTTACCCCGTTGGCTGTAACAAAGTTTGTGTTGGCTTTTATGCGAAGAAAGGGTACCCACGCGTACTGAAGACCGAACAGCTTCCTTCTCTAAGAGTATTCTCGGGTGCTCCAAAAGTTATTACTTGTTGTAACTTTTAATATAATTAATACATTTTCCCATTATTGTGCTGTTTAATTTATATCCTGTAGTGAAAAGTATTAGCTTAGCAATGAAAACTTAAGTATTATAAAGGGAACACAATAACACAAGCCTGTGTGCCGATTGCGTGACCAGTAACATATTTATAATAGGAAAAATGCCCACCTATGTATCCAGTGTGTTATTTTATATATAAAAATATTTCTTTATCCTTTGTAGGTGACCTTAAATTTTATTTTGGAATATCTTTCATATAATCATTCTTTGTGCGTATCTTCGTGTATGGGTCGCAATATACGATCAATTTCTTAGTGAACAAACCTCCCATTTGTTGCTCTGATAATTTCTTTATGAAGGAGACATGTGCCTGCTTCGTGTGCGTTCATTCATCACATAATAACATCAATAAATGTCATAAAGGCGAATATTTCTTGTACTTCAATATGTGTTTTATAAGAACGCAAAGAAGTTGCGATTTTAAATATTCCGCTCACTTCAATACTACGTCTGCGAATTTTTAAATTGCAACCAATTTTCCAAAAGCACACTCGTAGACTTTCTTAAGTTTGCTATTAGCCATATTAAATTATTATCATATCAACAATCTATTCCGATATATCAGAACTATATTTATGTAGCATTATGTAGTAAAATTTTATGTCAATGACATTACACTGTATCACTATAAGGGAGAGAGCACAATCGGTAGCATTATATCGAACAGTGCATAAAATTACCTCATTTTTATAGTGTACAGCATATATTTCTTACATGTTACGGCCCGCCTCTACCCTACTCGAATCAAATCCCTGAGGAGGGAACCCTCCGCTACCAACATATGAACGCTCAAAGATTTTCCAAGGTGTACAGGGCACGCAGAAATGCATTTACTTTTATTATTATTATTTATGTCGCAGCAAAGGCGAGGAGCGTACCAATTTGGCAACAATTTTACGAGTTCGCTTTAGTTTTATAGACGCGAAATTTGATTCGAATGATTGCTATTGATTTTTTGTTTTATATTTGTACGAAATGCTTCATTTCTACAGTCCACTGTGTTCATCGACTGGAAAAAATGTGGATTTTGGATCATATCGATGAATTTATGATACATTTTATGCACGTTACGAACTTTTGAAAAATAGCCTAACGCTGGGGATGTTATAAATATTACATGCTAAGTACTTTTTCTTAATATATGAAGTGTATTTATCGAATATTAACATGGGTGTTTTGTCCATAAAAGAATTAGATGAGATTAGAAATACGTCTTGGTTTTTCCGAATATATGTATGTCCATCGATGTTAATCATTGTAGATACAACAAATCTATTTATGTGCAAGCTTGTGTTAGCCGATTATCTAAAAGAGAAAAACACTTTGTGTAAACTGGAGTGGTTTGTTTGAATACTTATTTTGGGGAAAGGTTTTTTGAAAGAAAGAAATTTTTTTATTGTAAAAACTTCATAAGTTTTGAACGACTAAATTATGAAGAGTTTGGAAGCCCTTGTAATTGATATTGTTAGTTGGAACTTTAAAAAACATGTGAACAATACTATCGTTTCAGTTACAACCTAAACATCTTAATTTAACTTAAAAAAGTTTTTTGTATCTACAGATACAAATCGATGATATTAATTACAAAGCAATGAAAGAGGAATAATTTTTTCCAAAAAAAGTCCTAAGACTTGTTGCGACGCTATGGCGCCTTAATTTAGATAATGAGTATTTCTGAATGCCCATCAATCTTAAAGTCTTACTAAATTTCATTAAATCAGTTATCAAATTTACATCTTATTACGTGCCACAGTATCGTTCAATTTCAGTTCTACGAACACCTCATGCCTACGGAGAATCGACGGTTCATAGTTGTTTTATGCTATGAAGTTTAGTGGACTTTGTTGTGCTTATTTATCAATATTGTTTAACCATACATATAATGTTTTACTGTGGTAGGGCCACGCAACAGTATTCACTGTTGCACGAATAGGCAAGTCCATCCGGGGAAATACCACTACCTCACAGGAGACCGGCTTGAAATGGAAGTGTTACGCTACTACCTTTGTTTTGGTAAGTGAGGTAGCCGGGCCCACTTTATTATAAGGTGGCAACGCATCTGCAACCCTATGGGTGTTTCAAATTTCCATGGGCAGTCCACGTCACTGAAAATCAGGAGCCGCTCGCCTGCCACCTTCTTACATAAAAAAAACGAGTACATAACAAGTTATGGATAATGACAAAAAGCTATTTAGCACAGTCATATCTACATCAGCACTGGTTAACGATTTGAAAAAAAAAAAAGAGTTGAAGTGCCTACTAAATGAAACTATGTTTACGGATTTATCGCGTTTATTTTTTGTTTCAATTCCCGACGTTTCGAACCCTTTACAGCGTTCATGGTCACGGGAATTCAAACAAAAACCTTGTTTCATTTAGTAATTTTTAATCGCGTAAATAGTAATTAGAAATTATTATGTTAACGTACCTACCTAATTAAATTTCTTTAATAGATGATTTCTAGATAATATTGACAATATCATAACACATGTTTTTGACAACGAAATATTTAACCAGTGAAAAGACGATTGAGAGTCTAATGACGAGAAGACAAAACGCAATACTCGCTGAAGTTAAGATTTCGTTGCGGATAGTTTAAACGTGTTAATAATATATGTTGCCGTGTCCAGAGTTGTTGTGAGTGTCGGAAAAAAGGATGTCTTTATAAACCCGACGCTAGGTCTAGACCAATCAAAATTTACCGATCTAAAGTGGTTTTGTAAATTGTAATATGTACATTGAACGAAAATAATGGGTTGGGGATTTTTTTATAAAGTTTCTTTACATTTAACTAAAGTATGTAGATGCCATTTTGTTCGATAACTTTCTGCCATCTTGTAGGATCATGTCCCTAGATCCCATTGCTATAGAAATTCTGGGGCTTCTGATCAAAAAACCTCGACAAGTGATTTTGGCAGTCCTGTCGTGATGTTAACCTGACACTGCCTAAAGAATTCTGAAGAGACCGAAACAAGTGGAAATCTGAAGGTGCAAGGTCAGGACTATACGGCGGATGCATTAACACCTCCCAGTCAATCTCTCTTATTTTTTGCTGAGTGGCTAAAGATGTGTGAGGTCTAGCCATCATCATCATCATCATCATCATTTCAGCCAGTTTGAGTCCACTGCTGAACATAGGCCACCCCCCAGACTGCCACGAAGTACGTTACCGTTATCATGATGAAAAACCACACCCCTTCTGTTGATTAATTTCGGCCGCTGTGTCTCAACTTCTTGCTTTAATCTCATTAGTTGTTCGCAGTAGAGTTCAGAATCAATCGTTCTGCCTTGCGGTGACAGCTCATAATGAATAATGCCCTTCCAACCCCACCATCATACACACAGCATTACCTTGTTGCGATATAACCCGTACGTCGTAATAAAGAATCACAAATGAGTACACGGTTCATTAGGTTTCTTTCAGAGAGCTCATGAGGCACCCAAATATCGAGCTTTTTTGTGTGCCCAGCTTTTTTCAAGTGCACTGTTTTGTGGTTAATTCCCAGTTCTTCAGCTACATTGTAACTACTGATTAAACCAAAGTGCTACTCTCACAGACACTGCACTAGGTCATAAATATCACAAATTTTTTCGCGGCTTGCGTCGCATTTTTACCTTTTGGTAGTAAAATTTTAAAATATATCGCATTTCTTCATTAGAATCACTCATCTTAACAGTAAAAAAAAAAAAACAAATGAAAATCACACATTTTCCTAATTTGACTCTGGAATTATCTTTTTTAAGATTTAAACTTTTTAATTATTTAAATTTTGCGAAAAGTTATATTTGTGAAAAGACATTTTCCCCAACCTAATATTTAAGGTTTATTAGGTTTATCGAACTCACGGACGCACGGACAAATACTCCACTCATTTGGGCTACTGGCCGGTTTAGTGGCAGAACAAAACTCGCCTGACTAGAAACAAATGTACCTGATGTGGCCGTGCATTATGCGACGGAGGTCCACCTACTCCGTGATGGTAGACCACGTCGTGCTTCAGCTGGGGTAGCGGTGGCCCCGGCTGCGGACCGGACTGGTGCTTGCTGATGTCCACGGCAGCAAGGGCCTCCGCGCGACTCAGCAGGCCATCGTTAAGGCCGCCGAAAAGGTCACCCTGGTAACGTAAAACTAGTTAGCGACTCTGTCATTATTGGAACTGCGGTGAAAGTGAATTTAGCTACTCGAGAGCAAGCTTAGCTAGAAAGGGCAAATGATAAAAAAAGGAAATTGACGAAAATGCGACCTTTATTAGTAACGAATGAAAGTAAGAAAAGCTAACAAAAATGGAGCTTAACTCATTGAAAATATAAATTTTTAAGTTCGATCATACAATAGGTTCAGCTTTAAATTCACTAAAATTAAATTGAAGTCTTATTTATTGATTTCTTCGTTTTACGCGAATATTATACGTGATTAAAACTATTTTACGAATTTCATTACGTTTTAATGAGATTTAAAATTCCAGACATTTCGAAGCGGAACTCTGGAAAGTTCATGGTAACAGACTGAGGTTTAAAATCAAATTAAAACCCCATAATTTCGTAAAATAGTTTCGTTTGACGAAGTCTAGTTGGTTAGAAAATTTATAAAGATGTCAAAGAAACGTGTTAATTTATAACACGCCGCGTGCGACACTTAATTACGCAACGTTGAAATAATCATTTATAAATAAACCAGCGTACGAATGGCTGTAAGAGCTACATAGTTCAAAGAACGCTCTAATTCGCGAGATGTATTACGTAGACCACATTAAATAGTCATGGCTGCTCAACCGGCGGCCCGTGGACAGGGGTTTTTCCCGGATTACTTTAAATTATTTATGAGTGATTCTAGCCCCGTGTTCCTCCGTAGCTCGTTATGGGTAGCGTGGCTCCGCCTCGACCGCTTCCGACAGATACGCTGTGCGCCGGCCGACTCCCAAATAGGCATTTTTATAGTGGCGCGGACCACTTTTAAAGTGATAGTTTCCCGCCGACGTTGCACACGTCCGCCTGTTCTATCCCGGACTCCGCACCGCAATCGCGACGCAGGGCCGGATTTATGGGAGGGCAACCGGGGCAACAGCCCTGGGGCCTCCACAGATGAGGGGCCCCCACAATAGAGACTTCGGTAAAAAAAATCAAATTGATACTAGTAATAAAATGTATACTAGTAAAGTTTTCCTTTCATATTTTTTTCGCGTTTTACTTTTACTTTCAGTACTTTGTACAAACATGGTTACATTAAATATTAACAGAAATCAATAGAAAATAATTTGCGACCAAGAGGCCTCCACTCCATTGTTGCCCCGAGGCCTCTAGACGTCTAAATCTGGCCCTGTCGCGACGCCTCCAGCATTCGAATTTCCCGCTCCCACATTAAACCGCACCCATCCGTATGTGGCACTTTCGAACGGCAGCTGCTTAATTTCTAATGGGCCCATCGCTCTTGAGCCAGAATCTAGGGAACAGTGAGATTCTTTATTAGTACCGTCTCGCGGTAACTCAGACGGTTGTTAAGTTTCATGTTTACGCATATAGCACGAAAGAAACTATTAATAGTGAAGTCCACAGCGTAATCTTTTCGAGTACAAGCGGGCGTGGGAATCGAAGCTTGCCCCAGCACCCTTCGCAAATGTAGAGCGTCGCGTCACTTTTATAGAAATGGCAACACCAAATCCCAATTGATCGCAATTGTGAGGCAAATCGAACCCATGCTACCAATATATAAATAATTACAAAAGTGGGGCTAGGTGTGTGCTAATGTGTAAGTGATATAGCATTATTTATCATTGCGTCATTGCTGTTATCTCTGTCAAAGTTAACAAAGGTTTGGACAATCCGTTTGCCTTTGCTAGACAGTCACCAACGTCAACGCGACGTGAGCTTAACTTATCACTATCGCAGTGGTCTTTGGCATGGATCATTCATAAGTTCTAAAATGAATTTCTGTATATCGGCGATTTATGATACAAAAGTTGAGGAACAGACAACTAATTCAAAAAGACTGCATCTAAAACTGATTACATGCTTAGTTAAATAAAAAAAATGTAATAGTCGAGTTACTGACATTTTAAAGGAAACATTTGTTTAGTCTATTTGGACGCAAAGTAGAGCGTACGAGCTGATTATATTTCATATTATTCAATAATAGGAGAGCATAGTACGCTTTACTTGGATAATAGAGCATTATTAAAAAATGAAATAATTGTATGCGCTCAATTGGCCGCGATTTTAGCGTTGCGCCTTTTGTAAGTTGTAAATCTATTAATGATAAAGCCTATTCTTGCAATTCTCATTGCAGAAATTAAATAAATAAAGAAACGGCTTAGAGCTTAAAAGCCAAAGGTTTTATTCAACAAAACCATCATAATTTTTAATATTTACCATCATCCAACATATTATTATTGTTAAATAGCGACTGAGTTGGTGATATGTACGTAATACCCTACATCAGTGCTTAATCGCTACGCTGCTAGTAATATTAAAGCACATTTAGCCCGTCAACGCATATATGGCGCCTGAAAATAGCACTACTGCATCAAGTACAGTCAGATTAGAGGATTAAGTTTCTAGCTATGATGTTGTGCAGTTACGGTATGTTACCAGTATCAGTCTTTATTGAATAATATTTTTTTTTCGAATAACTTTACAGCCGTGATAGCGTAATATCCGATAGCCTTTAATTTAATATACTCGAGCAATTTGAGTTGGATCCGCGGTGCCAACCTATGAAATTACCTTATTAATTCACTTGCATATTTGTCGAAATAATAACAAAAAAATATCGAAGATACGTGAAGTCCGCCAATCCCGCGGTGAACTATGCCCTAATACCCTCTGTAAAGTGGAGGCCTTTGTCCAGCAGTGGGATATGTATAGGCTGTTACTTTATGAAATTTTCATTAAACATCGAGTTCGATTGAAACGATGATACTATTTCATCACTACAGTTACAAACATTTATGTTTTTTCATTGCGTTTTATTTATAGGCTTAAAAAAATAAATGTCTAATTATGCTAAAAATTTTATATTAATAATTTTATTACACTATTGTTTGTTGTATTTCATTACGGCGAGATTTTACGAATCAAAAACTTTATTTTGAATGTGATACGATGGATATATAACTGAATATATATAAGTTTTCGTTGTCCTCACTTTTACTGCTTAGTGTCACGTCAGACGTGTAATTTGTAGTCACAACAAATATCAAACAGTAATCGAGAAAAAAAGTGTGTATATACCTACATACACTCCTAAAAAGTTATACTTCATTAGCGTACCAAAAGAAAAATAACTAAAACTTTTATCCCTGAAAATTTTAGTCTCATATTGTTTTCCAAACGCGCCAGAAGAAGTATAAATTTAAAAATTAAATAATTTCTGTTTTTACTGTACTTGTTTGCATGGTAAAACTAAAATCTAAATTACCGAAAAATGTCGAACAATCCAATATGATAAGAAGCTTTTTTAATAGATGACGTAATTATATTTATGTTTAATCCTAACACCGAAACAACATAAGGGTACGTAGTGCACTAAAATAATCCATTACTATTATTACTCACGAACATTCTCATTTTAGGGTTAACTAGCGACATCTCCTGATCCCCTGATACATGTGCGCCGAGTAATGTCGGTATCAAGTGTCACAGAGATCTAAAAGCTGGGGTTTCGAGGGGCCTTGGCGCACGATTAGGCACACGGAATTTACTACGTACCTACTGACGCGGGGATTAAATTTTAATTATATTTTATACTCTATTCATCTTCACCGAATCGAATAACAATAATGTACTTTTAATTACTAGATATTTTGAGAGTCATATTTCTGTATAAATAAATAAATATTTCACTACACTTATACAACGTTTTCTAGTCCCAAACTAAGCAGAGCTTGTACTATGGTTACTAGATAACTGATAAACAAACTTAAACGTACTTTTATTATTATTATATATTAATAAATACATATTACAAATATATAAACACCCAGACACTAGAAAAGCACTATGTTCATTACACAATATTTTTCGAACTATTCGTATTTATTGATCGAACCAAGACCCTCTGGCGCAAGAGGCATTGGATGATACTTTCGCATCTCTCTGTCTATATAGTTTTAACAAAGCATAAACAAAACTATACTACTTACAAATATTACATTTGTATTAATAATGATAAACAGTTTAAATAAGATAAAACTATTTTTCACATATTGATTAAAAGAGGTAATTTATCTGGTTGTACTTTAATTCCATTCAACCGTCTTTGGAATATACGAATATTTCATTAGATCGAACCCTTGTCATTGTAGTCAATGAAGTCCTTATTATGATAGATTTAATAGTTTTCCCAAAAGTATTATTATTAGGTATTTAAGTACAAAGATGGGTCCATTTATCCGATTGACCCTGAATTAAAAATATATGGTCTAGTGATTGACTTTTAATAGGTACCAGTACAAGCAAAGAAAAAATAAAACTCTCTTAAACTCTTGTAAAGTAACAAACAACCTTTATATCTCGGCTGTATACTGCTGTACAGAAAAGAGGATAAAGACTTGCATTCGCTTTCTTTTACTCGTCGCACAATGCAACTGCTGTTGTGCAATTGATTAAACCACTGCAATTACACTAACAGCATGTCCATTGTTTCCTTTATCTACACAAAACCTTTAACATGTTATATAAACAAATCAAATCGCGTGTCCATGTCACTGACGCTTCGAGTGGCGTTCCACAATGAGGGATTAGATAATGTGGACTTAGCTGCGTCATTAACGTCGCTTCTCACGCAGGGAAGAGAGAATAACCCATACCAAACATGGTTTGATGCACGTATTAATCAATATATATTTCACGAGACCATAATAATTCATGTTATTTTATAATACAATTTAAAGACACGACGTTTTACATTCTCAGTTTGGATATCGTGTAAAAAAAAAATGTTTTTATTATTAAAAATCCCATTCCGACTTAGAACGACCTTGTTCAATTAATGTAAGTACACAGTTTAATGCAATGATATCCCAATGGGGACATCCGTAGTAGAGAGGTTGCCGACATAGCTCAGAAGATTAGTAAGCTGAGGTGGCAATATGCCAGCCATAGCTTGAATTACTATTATAACAAATCAATAATCAAAGGGGAAGAAAGATTTTTGAGTGGCAGCATCATGTTGGCAATTATAGATAGCAATTTTAAGCACAGTTTTCAGCAATGGACTCAAACAGGCTGAAATAATCACCATACATTATACAGGGGACATCAATCACTTTAAGGGTAATGAAATTTATTTACAATATATACGGGTATGCTAAAAGAACTTTAATAAACACAAGTACATTTTAAAGTTACTTCCGCAAGAAACCAAAGGGAATTATGACGACTTTTCAGTCAGCGAAAAAGATTTCGACAAACTTTATAATAATTAACGAGCTGAAGGTTTTTATACGTACACGCTTCACTTTTCACAGGTCGTTGATTCCGATTTCTATTAAATATTGCCCGCTGACATATCACGACATGAGATTGGTGTTCGATTCATTTTTTTTGGCTTTTCTTTCTCCAGCTGTTAATACTATCAGTACTTCGAAATGTCACAAGTAATCGTAACGAAACGTTGGAGAACGAAATATATCCGATATAATTTACGTATTCAATGAATAAATCGCACCGTGCGTAGAATAACGTTCTGTGGTCACATAGAACGAATTTGATTTTATCGTCGGAATGTCTTAATTATTGTCTACGCTTTCAGATAACCTTTCATTTTTTTTCGTCTGACTTATAGTTATTGAGATTCAGAATAGAACAACGTTCTATCTGATTTGTGCTCCGCAGTACAAGGACATCTGTACGGTTAGATACGGTTTTATTCGTCCTCGGCATTCGTCCGTGAGCGCGGGAGCGCCGTGTCAAAACCATTCAGTTCGTTGTCGCGCGGAGGTACGCTTGTGTGCATTCATAAATTGAATAGAGAAAAAACTGTGAATGATTATTTTTTGCGATCATTTATTCAAATGCTTATTAACTGAATCAATGATATGTAATAGTGACTTAAATCTAACAAAAAATAAGGTAAATTTAATTTAGTAGTTTCAAAATTTAATTTATTTTCACAACCTTTTTGGTTTTATTATTAATAATCGTTTATTATTATGTTTATATTTTATAAAATATTTTTCTACATAAAGCGTTTTAGTGCAGTATGCAATTTCTATAAAATTTCAAGAAAATACGCTATGAAATGCATAATTCGTAATAGAATGTTACATGTGTTTTTGTGACTTTGCTTTTTGAAAAATGTAATGAAAATGTAATAAGTATTTTTTTCTTAAATATTTGCATTTCGTGTCAATATAATTTTGTTTTTAGACGTGAACAAAAATTTAAGCTTGTTTTATTTTTAAATGTTATGTTTGCCCGTGGAACG